GGCATTAATTCTTGATTTCGCTCCTGGCATACACCACGCCCCCAACAAGTGCATCTTGTGATAAATTTCATTTCCTTTTATCCAGAATGATTCTTTCTCTGGCTACAGAGCTTCGAACGTCGGGTTGGCCTAATGCTGGTGTTGCCAGTGTGTAGGGTAGATGTACTCCGACCAAACAGAAATTGCTCATGAAATGAGATAGGTAGATCAAAATTGTTCAAGAGGTGAGATTGTGGCAAACTTATTCAGTGTCTGCATCTTGTTGGATCACGCGGCAACTACGACAGGATAGACTACAGTCGATGATTACCATGTGCGTCGACCTTCTGTTCTAGGTTAATTACGGCACGGCTGCTGACCGAAGGAATCGACGGGTAGATAGACTGAATCGATTCATATGGGTGCGAAGCCTGCCAGCTGGTTCGGTATTTGTGCGCTACTCTTGTTGCCTTGCCGGTCGGCAGCGTGATCCTTGAATGCAATTTGAGAAATGCCTTGGACGGCCCCATGTTTTGGGAAAGGGGATGGGGCGAGTTGCTAAAATAACCGCGTTGTGGATAAGCTTGATCCTGACCCAACCCATAATCTCACGCAAGGACCCGGCTTTAATCAAAGTTTGTCCAGTTGGCCTCAGATTTTCCCTATTTGGTAAAAGCGTCGACATATATAGCAGAGTTGCCACAATAGAGGTGGATACAGTAAGCAGACACGCACGCCTATCCCCAGCCATGGAAGAATGGCCATCCTCCCTTATGAGCGAGTCCAGGTTCTGGAAATCGGGTCTCCCGGCATTAGTGTAATCTCTCATGCAAGTCACAATTAATACTGGTAGGCTTGGAGGGGTATTAATAAACTTTCGTCCCTCCATTCTACCTAGAGGCACACCACGTTTGGTATTGCCGAGTTGATCAACGATCAACATCGTGGTCGATCATGAACTGTCCTACTCGGTCCTGGGTGCTAGCCAGCCTGGCACTGTCAGCCTTCTCACAAGTTGGCCCCGTCAGTGCTGCTCCCAGCTATGAGACTGTACCGGTCAGCTATAGGCATGTCTCCGGAGACTGGGACAACGTTAAGCGTGCCGACTTGGTCCCCTTGCGGATTCTACCCCTTGGTGCCTCCATCATGACTGGTGTGGGCTCATCTACGGGTGATGGGTTTGTTGTTTCTAATATCGATAGTCTTTGTACTGATGCTGACTGTCCCAAAGCCACCGAAAACCCTTGCGAGATGCGCTTCGACAGGATGGCTATGAAGTGAACATGGTTGGCAGCCGAGCTTCTGGTCAAATGAAGGATCAAGTAAGTTTAGTTCAACATCATTGAGATGTTTAAGATTCTGACATTATCGGTTTGATTTAGAACCATGAGGGAAAGTCTGGAGATGTTCTTACACAAATCCAGGCCAGAGTGCCAAACTCGATTGGATACAAGGTCAGTTTATCAAGAGACGGGAGCTTACTATCACTTGAAATGGAATCGAATGTAAGAGCATCATCTAACCTTGGACGCAGCCCAATATCGTCATCATCAACGGAGGAACCAACGACGGCAACGGCGATGTAGATATTTCCAATGTTGGCGACCGAATGAACAACGTTCTCAACGCACTTTGGAATGCAGCCGATATGAGCGACACTTGCATCATGCTCTCGACCCTCATCCCAACAACCAACACCAATGGTGCCAAAAACCGGGCTGCAATCAACAGTCAGTATCGCTCGCTTGTCACCACACGAAGCAATGAGGGGAAGTGTATCTACCTCGCCGACATGGACCTTGCCAACGAGAAGGTCTGGTTTGATTTTGCTACGGATTATTCGGCAGGAGAGTCACCAGCTGTCCACCCCAATGTCAGTAATTTCCAGGGCCCTAGGCAAGAACTGGATCTCTGACGTTATACATATAGGACAAGGGACACAGGAAAATGGCTGCTGCGTTCTATCAGGCGATTCACAAGGCGTTAGATGACAACCGCGTCAAGGCCGCAGCCGACTTCGATACCGACGTTGGCAAGACCGGGTGTGACAAGTTCGGAGGCAACGGTGTCGATGCTGGTGGTCTCACTCAGCGTGGTTCAGGTCATGATGACGGCATATATTACCACAACAGTGATGACATGGGTGTAAGTTCAATTTCTGGGTGTTCGCAGTTGTTTCTCCTTTCTCATTATTATTATCCAGATTCTGTGGAGTGCGGACAGCGATTGGGATAGAGGCCAGTGGAAGTTTGCACGCCTGTTTGATAGCAAATATGACGACCTCCTGGCATGGCTTAGCACCGGCGATAATTCGCAAGAATACGTTGTCTGGTATGTCCCCCTTCCAAAAGAGTTTGATCCCGCTCTTCTCGAAGACAATCAAGCGTGCGCTAACTGGAACACAAAGGGCCAATTCCGGCGACGGCAAGGCTGGTTTCAAACAAATTAACAACTTGACACCTGATTTGAACTGCAAAAGTGCCACGGGTGTCAACTTCATTGATATGAACGGCGACGGCCTTGATGATCTTGTCTATATCGATGAGGATGGTAACGCTTACTTGTCCATCAACCAAGGAGACGGCGATAGGGCGGCTGGAAAGGCACCTACTTTCAAGCGTGTTAGCGATACAGCGAAAATCAAGAGCACTGAAGGCTATGGACGAGAGAAAGTGCGGCTCGCAGATATCGATGGGGATGGCCGAGGCGACTATGGTGTCTGGGATGGCAGCAGCTGGAAGTTCTGGAGAAACGGCGGAGTTGGCAATATCCCCGAGTATTGGCAAGCTCTTGGTGCCAGACGCAAAGACCAAGGTTACGGAAGCTATGAGGGGTACACCTTCGAGGACGTCAACGGCGATGTAAGCTCCTAGAATTCAATGGGGCTGGAGTTGAACTAACATGGGAACTAGGGTCGCGACGATTCTATCTGGCTTGACTCTGTCGGAGCAGGCTATATGCAGACTAATGGGCGAAGTTGTGCAACTGGTGCCGAGGGTGATGGTCTCAACGTTGCGTGGCGCGACGGCTACTTTACGGGGGCATCATCTGGCACAGTCTACAAGGGTATGGGTAGCTTCGTTACCGATTCAGAGAAGATACTGCGTAACCGGATTCATTTCGGCCGCATCTATGGACAGTCTTCAGTGTTCGGTAACTTGCCGAAGCAAGACTACATATTTATGCAGCACGAGACGCTTTCAACTGGCAAGCATCGGTTCCAGATGCGTGTTTGGAAGAATACTGGCTCTGGTGGTACCAAGCTTCTTGCCGACGGAAACAAGTACTGCAATATGATGGGCCACTCCAACGGAATGGAGGACTATGTGTGGACCTACGCGGGAGGAACGATGGAGATGTGGGTAAACCGCGGGAAGACGTCGATATCCGATTCAGACGCTGATGGCTTCTGGGAGTCCAAGGGCACTATCTGGACCCCACCAAGCGAGATGAACCGCCGTGATCTGCACTTGCAGGACTGGGACGGAGACGGAGATTGCGACATTATCTACGCTGATCCCGAAAGCGGCAAGGTGCAAGTCTGGATTAACAACTTCCCCAGCACCGGGAAGTGGGACTGGACTCATCTATCAAACCCAGCTCCAAGTCTGAGTTGCTCCCAGAAGCGAGGTCTTGGTATCCATGACTGTATGTTGAGGCTGTGTCCCATGATCTCCACCACTCTCTTGATATTTAGTAGCTGATTTGATACAGTGGCTGTCCGTTTCGCCGATCTGACCGGAAATAAGAGGGCTGATTATCTCTGCATTGAGCCTAATAGCAGAGTCACTGGCTTTGTCCAGAATGACGATGGCAGCTTTGAAGATGCCGGCCAGATTAAGGTATCCATAAGCAAAGATCGTGCCAACCTTCGTTGGGCCGACGTGAATGGTGATGGCAAGGACGACCTTCTCTGGGTTGAGAAATTCTCAGGGGATGCCTACGTTTGGTAAAGCTTACCCCTGCTGTCAAAACCTGCCACTTAAATTACTGACCAGAAGATAGGTACAACGAGGGTAGAGGCAAAGCTGAGGATCTTCTCGGCTCGACATTCTCCTGGAGGCAGCAGACCGAAGTTGCATACAAAGGAAACGCAGCGGGTACCTGCGAATACTGGCCCGACCTCGATGGCAACGGCCGAGCAGATGAGCACTATATCACGGGTACCTTTGACAACAAGGCTCGAACGTCGTTCAACCCATCCTGCGGATTAATAGACGTTACAGGAGACGATGCCACCTTCGCTGAAAAGCTAACAGCAGAGCTTGCCGAGTATAACGCGTAATCTAATTTGGGAGATAAGAGGGTATCCCGTTGCTGCGAAAGGCATGAGATTATACGGGTTTTCCGTGCTGCGGAAAGCTGCATCTCCGGCTCCGCACTGAATAGATACTGATAGTTTTCAGTGTGTATATAGGTGGGAGGCGTACGCTTCGGATGAATATAAATAACATACAACCTTTTTGTTAACACAACTCTATTGAGAAACTTTAGTGATTTTCTCTCTTTATATATTACAAATACCCTATTTAACCGAGTCTTGATTCATCTATGTAAAAGAAGTCTGTCTTCAACCTCCCTAAGCGGTAAGTGATTTAATCCTCTTATTCCTGTTTCGCCTTATCTGGTTCAACTGCCAGTATAATCAAAGAAGACAAGAGGAATGAGAGTTCGAGAGGAGAGCCTCTGCTACTCGTGTGTTAATCTATGGAATATTTATTTCAGAGAAAACTACAGATCAAAATTGAACAACATGATAAGCTAACGACAGTCACCGGCAACCGATGTAGGGCGACAGAGTCTCGATCTCGCCCGAACATAAGGCCAGGCGCCGGCTAAGGAGACTACGGCGTTTAGGCCGGCAGAAATATCACTGCTCGGGGCATCTCTCTTTATTTTCGTCTTCGGAATGGTTATTTTTGGTCTCGCACGGGCCAAAATATTGAGTATTGCCATTGGTATATATCTCCCATTACGCTCCCCCTATAGCACATTCTGTTGGTATGAATGTATGAATTTAGTTAGAAGGTCTTTGGGGCATTTAATACGACTCCAGCGAACCGAGCAAGGTTTTCCCTTTCTTGGAGACTTGCCGAACCATGGCTCAGAAGGAAAATCTTCAGCTTTGTTTTGAGCTGGCGTTCCTTGAGAGCCTTAATCAACGAGTAGAAAGATGACAGCCAAGAAAATCCCCCATCAGTGTGGACTAGTCTGACATCAATTGCCTCAATGTTGATAACGAGATACAGAACTGGCAGCGTCTCGATCACTGAAGCCAATAGACGAAACCACTGAGCTGGTGTCTCTGCCGCCTGGAACATCGCACAGGATAGAGACAATGATCTCTCGGAATGCAGAGATAGGTTGAGCCGTATGGCCTGGCGAACTAAGTCTCGAATGACATCAACATTAGACATCCTTTCCCCCGGGGTCTGTAAAGGTGGCTTCAGTGTCCAAATAACCGGCAACTGATGTTGACGAAGAATTGTTATCATGCTCGTCGCGAGAGCTTTAATAGATTCTCGGTTCTTGTAGTCTCCTTTCACCATGATCACCGCAGACACTTGTTCTGACTGCCAGGCTTTGAACTTCCGATGCCCCGAAATCGTCGTAAGAGGTGTTGACTTTCCTGGCCGGGGCTTTCCTTTCACTCTCATTTGAAAATGCTGACATCGGCTAAGGGCCTTTAAAGGCTCTATCATTTGAGACGCGGACAGACTTTCCATGATGTTATTTAGTTGTATGTCAGTCAGTTGTCTATTTGTATTGAGGTAACCGCTAGAATGGAGCGCTTGAGTCTCTATACAGTTGGTCAGTTCCCGCTGTCAAGATAAATCTAACCCCCTTACCTATGCACAGTTTGCGTATTTCTGCAAGGATAACATCCGTCTCTTGTTGGCTTCGCCCGATCCTTTGAATTTCGAGGTGCATGTCGCGTTGTTCAGCTCTTGCCCCAGCAGTTGAAAGAATATCAATCTCTCTCGTGCAGGACTCGATTTCTTGAATAAGATCATGGTACCGTAGCTCTACGGGCCTTGCGAAGGCGTTGATAATATGGCGAGCGGTGCCTTCCTCATACCAAGCCCTCGCTCGGATGAGAAAATTGATCAAGTGTACGTAGAGATTCACTACAGCATCTCTCATTCGTTCTGTTGGGTATAATATCGTAGACAATTCTACGCGCGGTAGAGAATCGGCGACTTGACTCAAAGCTTTCGACAAAGTTGTAAGTGACTTCGCATGATTCTCAACAACCTGATGATGTCAGTAATCACTTCTACTCACACAGACTGATACTTACAGCAAATAACATCTTAAAGGCACCCCAAGCTAGGCTGACATATTCAGGGTGATGTTGGACAAAAACGTCTAGAATGTTACCATAAAATCGAACTCGATGAGAAATTTTGACAAGCCATTTCTGCACTTTGCGGTCCTTGACCTTGTCATTGTATCTCGATTGCGCATTTCGGACACAATGCTCCAAATCTTCAAGAGAAGCGGAACAGTTAAGGAAAGTCCTTTTTTGCGGGTCGTTTGTAAGTTCGCGGCTGAAGATATCTACGGCTTTCTGGTAGGCATCATGGGCGATCGGTTGGGCTCTGGTAGCAATCAGCAGTCTGCAACCACAAGCAGGTGCTGAATGCGTGATACTCACGAATTAGTAGTCGTGCCCAAATACCACCCGGCGGCTGACCTCATCTCTTCTATATCAGGGAAGCAACGAAGCTAGACTGACTGTGCTCTTAAAACTATGGAAACTGGCAAGAAGTTGCATTGAGGATGACACACTGCCTCAAGCTTTCATTCGGATACGGATGAAGGTTATGCCGTGCGACGTCAAATGCATTGTTGTCCATTTGCGGCCATCCTTCATGATTGGTTAACTGAAACCTCAAGTAACGCAGCTTCAAGATCATCAGCATCAGCTGGTTAAACCCCGGATGGCCTGATATACACTCCTTAGCCCCGCACAACAGTCACTGTCAGAATTCTTCCACCCAAACGTCACAACGTTGTTGTCAATGTTTTGTTCCATGACTTCAGATAAAGTCAATTTGGTTTCTCATCTAGCATTTCGAGCCTTTATATGACGGAATGGCCCCGCCAACATTCCCTAGTAACCTAGGGATATCCAGAGATGAGACATCCGGAAAGAACTTCGAACGGCTCGACGTAATTGACCCAAATGATGATTCTCAGCAACCAGACAGCCGGGTTTGTACATATACCTTCTTGCCACCTATCATCCTATCTGTACTAACCATATTCGAAAATGAATGTAGGGACAGTCCCCAATACCGACTAGGGATCATCGACAAGCGGTTTCGGACACGAGTCGAGATACGAGTGACTCTGAATCTGTCGACAGCGATGAATCAGATCATAGGCGGCGTAGCCACACATCGAAACATTTTACCCTGCCCCGACACCAGGTTGAGATATCTCGTGCCTATGGCCGTCGCAGCCCAAGCAGAAGAATAAGACACCATAGTCGTGAGGCAAGGCCAAGGGTCAACTCCCCATCACCTTCAAAACGACAGCCTACAGTGACAGAAGATCCCGGGCCAGATGCTGATAGCGAGCAAGACGAGAGTGGCTACAAAACAAATCGAATGCGAGACATCCTTGTGGTACACGATAGGCATGGCGACAGTTCCTCGGATGATACCTCTGATCCTTCTACACTTCGAGAAGAAATTAGGAGGCTTCGACGTGAAAACAAGAGGATGCGAGACATCCAAGACAATGGTGGGTTTGCAACGCGACCTGCCCAAATTGCAACCACATATAAAACCTTCTATCAAATCGGGCCCAAGTATTTTCTTCAAGAGCCTCATTGGGAGCCAGGAGAGGGTGCCAGTACGGTTCTTGCTTGCGAGAACGGAATACGAAGCTTCAGTGACTATGTAGACCAGCACCCAGACATAGCGTTCACGGTAATCAAGGTCTACGACCCACGCCCCCCAATGGACCGTTCGAAAATTGAGACAAAAGATGGGGCTTTTCTAACACCAGAGCCAATGTCGCAATTTTTGTTGTTCATCTCGGATCCTGCAATCAGAGCTGTCGAAGACTTTGTCGATCAGGTGCCTCAATTTCGGGAACTCTTCCCTCAATTCAACCCACGGAGAAACATCAAGGCCCCCTATCTTTTCATGTTTCATTGCGCGCCATACTTTCAAGAAATCGTAGCTAAAATGGATGCTACTGGCAAATATCTCATGGTACAAGTAGAGAAATGCATCAGGGAGAGCCATGGATTTGAGCATGATTCAGCCAAAGCTCTGGCCAAGAAAGGGCGCGTCTCTAATGATCTGTTCGGTTATTTAATTCAGCCAGGTGATGTGCTTGTCAAAAGGGCAGGGCCGAGGACCGAGGGATTTATTGCGTTAGACTGGGCTACTGAAGCCGGGGCGCATGAGCAAGAACCAGAAGATGATCTGGCATCTGAGTGGGATTACCGAGAAGGAGGCTTCAGAGGATGGGACGCTCATAAAAAGAAGGAACCTCAGACCTGGTATAGCTGGACTGTGCCCGTTTGGTCTTGGGGATTTGATGGCAACTTTCAAATGCAAAGGCGTAACCTCATGGTCGGATTAGAGGCTAGTTATTCGGGCGAAATCATTCCGATCGACAAGCTGAAGATTATTCCTTTGAAGTACGCATCAACTAGTATCCGGAGCCAGCTAGAAAAAAGAGGACGAATGTTCTGGACACTTAGAAAAGGAAGATTCGTCAATTATCGACAAACTGAGGCGGAAGATTTGAGCAAGGTAGGTACTCTTATCTCCACTTTTCGTTGGGTTTCAGGGCTAAGGGTCTTCAAGGTGGAAGGCAGACATATGGTTGATGTTGAGACCTACAAAAAGCTACACCCAAACTCCACCATGAATGGGTTACGTCTTAGATCCAGCATATCCTCCAAGAATATGAAAAGCAACGAGCCGCCATCAGGTAACGATCTCCTAGTATTTCCAAACAGAATACCAGGCTTCAACCTCTTGCGCAAGATGTGGGGTAAGCTGTCGCACACTCTAACATCAAACTCGATCCTGCTAACTTTCTTGTCAGTGGACTTGTTTGTCGACTACGTGTCTGAGATTGTTTGGAATAAGCAAGCCTTTGAGGATCTTGTTGCCAACGACGAGACCAAAGAGCTTGTTCATGCCCTGGTCATGAAACAGATTGCGGCGGAACAATCCACAGACTTTATTGCCGGCAAGGGCAATGGACTTATCGTGCTGCTTCACGGTGGTCCAGGAACTGGCAAGACATTCACTGCTGAAAGTGTAGCCGAGATAGCTGAAAAGCCATTACTACGAGTAACATGTGGCGACATAGGCACAACTGCCGAGACCGTTGAAAAAAAGTTGCAGTCTTCATTTTATCTGGGGAAAATCTGGGATTGCGGTATGTCACCATATTAGCTAAGGATATTCAATGAATCTGACTAGTACTAGTGGTTCTTCTGGACGAAGCAGATGTCTTCCTCGAAGAAAGAGACATGAAAGACCTCAATCGAAACGCATTGGTCTCTGTGTTCTTAAGAGAGCTAGAGTATCACGATGGTATCCTCATACTAACTTCCAATCGTGTAGGAACATTCGATGAAGCTTTCAAGTCAAGGATCCAACTCTCTCTACATTACGAAAACCTCGGAGTCAGTCAACGCCGCAAGATATGGCGCAATTTTATGCGCCGCATTAAGTCACTTGACTCGACTGTTAATTTCGATGATATCGTGGATAACATAGATGAGCTAAGCAGCGTTGAGCTGAATGGGAGAGAGATCAGAAATGCAATTACGACTGCGAGGCAACTTGCACAATTCAAAAATCAGCCATTGAGCTATTCACACCTCGACCATGTACTACGCGTCAGCCGACAGTTTGGTCGGTATTTGAAGGATCTAAGGGATGGTTTGACTGACGATGATGTGAAACGTGAAGGTGGTTTGAGGCTGTCTTATAAAAACTCCAGTAATCGCCCTGAAAACTCCCTCTTTTAATGCAAGTTTATGCGAGTTTAGAATTAGATAAGTAGCCTAAAATTGAATTTCCAGTACTAGGCCTAGCCTTAGTTCTCCAACAATTTACTATTCTCTCATTATACTAAAAGAGTAGAACCGCAAGGGAAGAAATACCAAAACAGACAAGGACTTCGGCTTTGTAATACCTGAGGTGTATTGAAGGGTAGGCAGGGAACAAGTATTAGATAACTAGAGTATCTGGCGAATTAGCCTTAGAATTCGAGCGGGCCACCGATTAATACCCTCCATACATTCTTGTAGATGCACGACCCACCACAACAGGGTATCAAGCAAAGGCTGTAGAGCCCAATGCTGATTTCATTGCTTAATGCCGGAGGAAAATTCCCGCCTACCACTAATAGCCCACATTAGGTTTAGTTTCATGTGAAAAACAAGCGTAATGTTTCTCGTGGTCTCGATCGTCGAGTCCAGACTGTGTCTTGAATGACTAGTGCCACTAGTCCTTTCAGCTAATAAGTCGTAGTTCCAGGGGTAAATAATTATTTATTATCAGAAACAATCCAACTACGGGTGAAGTCCCAAGAGGAAACGACAGGCTGAAAAAAACTCTGTCACGACCTTGGGCCTGTGCTATCACAGCATTTCGTCAGCATCATGATACCAATGCGCCTTCTCGTCACTCTGGCCAGCCTCCTCCCGTTGGCTGTAGCTGAATGTTCCAAGCCATGCATGAGCCGATGTGCCAGGGCGTTACTTGGCCCTGTTGGCAGTACCTTGCAGAAAGAGTCCTGTGTCGCATTCCTAGAACAAGGTGAAGACGCCACAGTTCCTGTTGAGCTGCATGATGTGTGCCGTTCAAAAAAGGCCTATTCTCGTGCCTGTTCATGCATCGGAGTCTCGCCAACCGTGTCGCCATCCTCATCCGCCACGGCTCACACACCCTCAGTTAGCCAGCCTAGTACCCCAGATTTCTCGGCTACGCCAAGCTCTTCCAACACACCAATCTCTTCGACTGCCCTAGCCACCTCAGATACTCCGGTATCTACAACTACTCCAGTATCTACAGCTACTCCAGAGTCCTCAGCTACTCCAGAGTCCTCAGTTGCTCCAGAGTCCTCAACTACCCCAGAGTCTTCAACTACAGCAATCTCTTCAACCACCCCGGTCTCCACCACTATTTCAGAGTCTACCCCGCCAGCCTCGTCCACTACTCCAATCTCTTCTACTACCCCAGAATCCTCAACCATTCCCATTTCTTCAACCACGACGAGCGCTGCCCCCGTCCAGACCGACTTCTACGACATAACAGTTTATGTTCAGGGTGATCCTATACCGCATGACACCGGGTTCCGGGCGATATCCAGCGGTTTCGCGCTTAGCTGGAACTACGTTCCTACCGTGCCTGGGAAATTAGGTATTGAGCCGGGGACCGGCCGCCTCTACGCTCTGCTCGACGGCACAACCGACAAGCTATGGGGCTCTACCGCCCTACCTCTGAAGGGATCTCTTCTTCTTAGCTTCTGGACCCCTGCCCAGATTGACGCATACGGGGGTTCAATCGTCTATGTGAAATGCGCCCGTGATGCAGATGGCTACGTGACTTGCGGTTACGAGGACCAGGACCTGGCCAGGCTTCAGCCTGGTCAGAACCAGAATGTCGTGCTGGGGAAACATGCCAACGCGGGAGCTACAGCAATCAGTATGCTTGAATACCCAGTCCCTGCTGGCTACCCTACAGTACAACTGTTACTCAAATAAATGGGATGTGAACCTTGATTCCAAGAATCGTTTTACATGATAGAATATTCTATAATTCCTAGTCACTAATACATAGAGTCATTGTTTAGATACAAAAAAGGGGCAATCATTCGAACAGCCTATAACTCTTGGACTTACTTGACAGTTTCAGTTTTTGCCATCAATGTGAACTAAGTTAAACACAATGCCGGACTAGGTAGGCTCATTTTGCAGCGCAACCTTGTAATCCCGCGTTGTTACTTATTTCCTCTACATTCTCTCACATCTCTCCAGTACTAGATTTAGTGACTGTCAATAAAATTCCTCGATCCATCAAGATTTGGGTTTCCCGTATGCTATCTCCAACCGCTCGCTTTGTCAGGTACCTCCTGAGCATTGACCAATCATTTACCCCATAGAAGTGTTGGACGCTGACATAATTGCTCTAGCCAATCAAGAACGATTTTCAATACGAAACAAGGTTAGCCCGGATAGTGGAGTCTGCATAATACGCCAATTAGAGCGCGATGTCTCCACAAATATTGTGGATACCACCAGTCAGCTTCCTCTTGGCATTTCCTCTGGCTCAGTAATCATTCTCCCGTCATCGACATCCATTCAACATTCCGCCAGCTCCAGCCTCCAGCACATGGTGGAAGAGGTCAGAGCGGCACATCGCCTGCACGTTTCCAATATTTGCTTGTATTCACGAAGTAGGCCCCCACGTTAGTTTCACATCATGGATTCAACCGTGACGGATGCCATGGTTCCTCGACGTCACCGCAAGGCCCATCGGAAGTCTCGCCTCGGATGTAAAAACTGCAAGCTTCGAAGTGTCAAGGTATTGGATTAAAACCTCTCCCCTGTCAATATTCGGCATTTGATCCCTTCCTGTCCTGTTTCGCTGTGCTGATTGGACTGACCATGTCCAAGTGCGACGAATCTAAGCCGGCTTGTAAGCGTTGCCAGGCATCCGGGTTTTGCTGCGACTTCTCTAGCCAAGGACCCATGCTACAACTTCAGCATGCGGGAGTTTACAGGTTTGATCTTAGCCTGAGCTCACAAGGCCCGAGCCCCCGGTATTCGATCCCCATTGTTCTTCCTTGCTCCACCGCCTTTGGCGAGTATGAGTTGAGGCCCGAGGACTTTGCCGCCCTGGACCGATATCGCAACCGAACTCTCAACCATATTGGGACAAAGGAGTCTCGGCCACTGTTTAGTGACGAAAATGGTGGCACTGGGGTTTCGGTATGTATTCCCGTAGCTTATTTAGGACTGGACGTTTGCATAGGTACGCACAACACGCTTCACGAGGCTAACAATCTTAGCATCCATTTCTTCTTCACATGTTCATTGCGCTTGCCTTAATTCACGACTCCTGCTCTCCGTCCCCATTTCCCTCCACAGAACAAGGATTGATGTCATTCCACTGGTATCAGGCCTCGGCAATATTCAGAAGGATGCTCTCCCAGGGTCGATTTGGTGTGACTGTTGTCGAACATGACGCGCTTTGGGCCACATCAGTGCTTCTTGGAGCTGCTTCGTTCGCGTATCTCGGTACTCACGATCCTAAAAAGACTTGGCCGTTCCGAGATCCGGATCCGTCCGATCTGAGCTGGATTAAGATGGGCGACGGGAAGAAAGCTGTCGGAGAAACCATCGGGCCAGTTCAAGATGGCACTGCCTTCCAGAAGTACAGGACACACATATTCACCGAGTCACTTCCGAGGGGCGATGCTCCGATACCTTTGGATGTTTTCCCACAATGCCTCTATACTCTTTTTGACCAATTCCCTTCGACAGACTCCGAGGTTGATGTCTATTATCGACCGGCCTCAATACTTGCGCAGATTCTACCCCACCCATTCATTCCGGGCAAACTAGGCCGCTTCATTTCCTTCACTATTGGCATGGAAGATAGCTACAAAGACCTCCTTGCGCAAAAGGACCCTCGAGCCCTTCTTCTTCTCGTTTGGTACTACGCGAAACTAGTCGAGTGTAAGTTGTGGTGGATGCGTCAACGAGCCATCATAGAAGGGATGTCGATCTGTCTGTACCTGGAGTCTAAGCATGCGCATGCATTGATTCTTGAAGCCTTGGTATGGCCAAGAATGGTACTCTCGTCAGCGTACCAACATAGTCTCGATACCAATGGGGGGTTGAATGAGAAGCCTCAACCTGACAACCAGGTTTCTGAAATGGACATTCAGAAGGAAATTGAAATGGAAGCTAGCTCAAACAGCGTTATCTGATAATACTTTTCATACTTGGTAACTCATTTTGTATCCTACTGGAAACCCTTCTGATATCATCGTTTCATCTCTTTGGCCTTCGCTTTTCTCTCGGTGCTATTTCACTCATCTCCTTGATGTGATCAACTGCCAGTAATTTTGCCGTGATATACGCCGCTTCCAAAACTTGGACATCCTCCGGCCCTTTCCCATGTAAATTGCGTGTTGACTTTGGTCGTGGAGATGAGCCTCGGAGCTCTTGCGGATGATATGTTGAGCCCGGCATTTCGTGTGGCAGCGCTGAGCCGGGTAACTCATAAATGCGGAACAGGCGGCGTAGACTGGAAGGCGATCTCCGGATGGGCTTCATGGCGGATTTCAAAGGTAAACGGGTCTTGCTCGGAGGCTGCTTTTTGGCTCCGTCGGAATCGTAATTCTCGGGATCTCCTTGCTTTCGGGACTTGAGATAAAGCCACAGAAGAAGACATAGTGCCAAGAGCGCGGCAACCCCGAGAGCGGGACCAATGATCCAAGTCGCTAACAGCTTGTCAGACAAGATTCTGCTCTCAGCAATTTAAATAGAGTTAAGAAAGTCGTCAATACGTACGGGTAGAATTGGAATTTGCAGCCTTGGCCTGGGGAGTTTCTGTTACTTGAGGTATAGTTGATGTTGCGCTTGGAAGCCAATTTCCAGATGATGCAGTATTCGACGCCGTAGAAATTCGGCTCGTGACAACAGTTGTTGGCGGAATGCCTGTGATCGATCCTGTCGGCTCTGCAGGTAGATCCGTGATGGAGTAAAGATAACCTGTTGAGATGATAATTCCACTATTAGATCTCGTGATTGTGGTCCTAGAGGTGATTGTTTGGTATGTGAATTCCATTCTGCAATACGAAAGCACGGGGTCTAGGCTATCCGGCATATATGGAGTAGGTTGTGCCTCCACGTTCATGGCGCATTGGGCACAGGATGCGTAGGCCTGGAGGAACTTGGATCCGGATTTGCAGGTATCAGCTGGCGAACTGAAGAATTCCACTTGCTGCACCGCATTGCCTATATCAGCGATCTTAGAGTTAGAAGAGTGTACATTGGCTTTTGGGGCTCCCGGATGGTTTCATACTGCACACGTCAAAACATGGTGTGTCGGACATGGTGATGACTGCCACGGCGAGAGACTTGAGCACTGGTCAGTCAAGCAAATGACGAAAGGTGAGCGATGGACATGGCGCGATCTCTTCGTTAGCAAGTCCCTTTATTGATCAGGCCAGAGTAAATCCCAAAGGAGGCCAATGTTCGCCTCATGCGCCTTGATGGGGACCAAACCCAATAACCCGATCCTTTCGTGTTTCATATCAGCATAAAGGCAAGGCAGCTCCGTCATCCACCAATCGGGGAACTGAGGATGTGTGATTGACCAACTGCCAAATGCACATAGCCACAGTCAATACTACGCTTAGAGGAACTCGGGTAATGTTCTATTGAAAGCACTCGACGTCCTCTCGCCCTTGGCTCTCGAGAAATGATTTACATTTACATATACTAGATTAATAATACCAAAAACACTCTTCGATTTGTGTAGAATCCAACTCAATTTGTGACACGGGACAGAAATACAAAAGACTCCTGGAAAAGAACTTTGACGGGTGTCAGACTGCAACCTGCAGTTGGGGGTAGCACTCGATGCATCACACACTCCTACAAAGCACTCGCCGCCACTGAAAAGTAAGCGATTGCTACTTAATCAGTAAGGCAATTTCTGATCAGCCCAGCATCGCCTTATTGACATATAAAAAGATACCTCAGATTTCCTTCTGGCAAGCGGTTTGCAACTGGTAGGAATCGTTTAGAACGAAAATAGCTGGTGGCTGGGCTCCCTCCTGCATGATCTGCATTACAGCTTCTTACAGCGATCTGCTGCTGTGCTTCTGGGTACCTCGTATTCGACTTTAAATTGGTGATGCCAAGCATGCTACGCCACCTTCGTGCTTCTAAGACATGAGCAGTCAGCCAGTGATACTGTTTTGATGTTTGTAAATTTCCCAGATCGCCATATTTCCCGGTCACAGAAAAGAGCCTAATTAGTTCTTTCACAATATGAACAGGGTTTTGCAGGGCATAAGCTCATGGATCAAGTGACTAGCCAAGCATGAAACTGGTCAACAACCATAACAATTGCTAAAGTCTCACATATTATCCCACGTTCTCCGGGTTACTTTTTGTGGATTCGGAAGAAGCAAGACTTTTGCAGCATTCCTTCAGATAGGGATGGATAGAGGTGCATTCGCCCATGTCCCTCCCATAAACTCGGGCCCCTAGGGCAGTATCTTTCAGTGCTCAGTGTCTTGATTTTTTATTTAATAAGTGTAAATACCTAGATACCAAGAAATTAATCACTGAACATGGAGCGGGGAGAGGGGAGGCATTGGACGCTGTTGAAAAAAGGAAAATGGTTCATTCTACCGTTTTCTTCTTTTGCAACTCAACAATCCGGAATTCACTGATTAATTGTTCTGGCTTCCTCCCTTCCTCCTCATCGGTGGAACATTTGTCCGAAGTTCTGGAGACTCTCTCCTTGGCACCAGCTGATCCCCAGGACTATCAATTCATCTTCATCTTGCCATGCATCCGCCTATCCAAGCCATCATCACCATATCTGATCCGTCCTCGTGCCCCGAAAGACAAGCCTCCCCCCTCCGATCTCCGGAACATATTTAAAGATTCCGTAGACCCCCTCCCCGCCTAGTCAATGGTGTCCCTCTACAAGTTCAACAAGAGTACGACCAATTCTTTGCTCGAAAGTCACTGCCCTTTCGCGATGATGGGCCGCTGATAGGCGACTCTGACTGCTCATGGAAAAGCGCCGAGAAGCATGTTCTTAGGGCATGTCCCTTGAAATTCGAGGACATGGTTTTCGAAGAGCGGCTTGGTCATGGGATAGATGGTATTATGTTCAAGGTGAGCATCGACGGTGCTCCGTATGCACTTAAAGTGGTACGTCCCTCTCCTCCCACGCCCCCCCAAAAAGAACTCCTACTCAACTCAGTGCATCAAAAAGGCCAACGGACATCTCTTTCTAGGTTTGGGACGTTGAGATACCAGGGAAACGCGCCTACTATGCCGTCCAAAAAGAATGCTGGAACTCTGCGCTGTTGCAGATGATAGGTGCTGCCATTGCGCAATCAGAGGAGCCCATCTACCTGAAGCCCGAGATTGAGAGTCGCAAGGATGCTCTGTACAATACCCAAGCCTTTTGCGACGAAGCCCGCCAGAAGCCCCGATTCAAGAATCTCCCTGGTGCTGTGCCCATCACCTCTTTTCCAAGATTCCGAAAATGCTTTGGTTGGCTCAAAGCCAACAGTTCCCGACTTTTCGAAGATGAGCGAATGGGTCCTCCCTACGCTCGTGTCGGCCGTGATCGCCGGTCTATGACTGAAGACACCGAGTATTACGCTATATTATACGAGTGTATCCCCCCGGGCGAGCAGCATGTGGATACGGAAGGATTACAGGCCCAAATGGATTTGCTTTATCTCGAAGGCTTTGATATATGTGATCTTAAGCCTGAAGATTGGATTGGGGGAATCCTGGTTGATATGGCTGCTCTCGAGAGCCCATGGGAGATGCATTGGTCCCATCGTGCACACAAGCAATTTTCCGTGAACAGTATTGGCTTTCTATCTTAGAGCGTTTGATTTTTTATGGATTTCATCTATGTAAGATGCTTGTATGAATTTTAGCTTATAGCGATAGCGTATGCCCCCAGGCGAGTTCTACCATGATTGAAATATCACAGCATTGCACGAATAGCGAGTATCAAAAGCTATAGATCTAGACTAGTCATATGCCTACCTAGTTCTGGAGTGATTATAATTATAGTAACTACTCTAGTCCTGGGTTTTAAATCCAATAAAGTTAGCTACCGACTTAGATTACCTAGGTTGATAATCGACTTATATATAACTAGGGAGGGGAGGAGAAAAGGAGATAGATAACTAGACTAGTTAAATATCAGTATAATTATCTCTCAAACACATAAATGCATGTCCTCACAGCCTGCCAAGCCGCATCGTCACGAACGGGTAGAACAGACATTATTGATTATTCCACCAAGTAGTACGTTTCATTGTTATTTTTGTACGAGGTTTCTTTGAGCCCAAGTTTCCTATGTAAATACCACACATTTGTCTTTCAATGCGTACACTCATCTAATACTTTCAACCGGTTTAATAGTATAGTTTCTGACTGATTACATAGCGTTAGCCTCGGAGAAAAAAATAGACACAATACTAATAGAAGATAAGGCCGGCATTCTCTGGATATCTAGGATAAGGAAGTGTTTCCAGGGTTGTCCTACCCCGAGCCACTAATTAATGTGGAAAACCGAAAGCGAGCGTCCAGGGGCGTCAGCTTCCGTCATCACTCATCTCAGTATGCTAGCATCGGGTACCAGACCCTAAAGTCTGGATCTGCACCGTACTCGACGGTATGAAGTGTAAGGCTAGAGGTAGCATAGCCACATTATCTTACGACTTTGATCCCCGGCCATCATGAGTGGCGGTGATGGCCACGCACCACCAGTCCAGTTGAGTTGCTGACATTTAGGCGACAGGGCCAATTAGCTCACGGAACGGGAGTGGCTGTGACCTGGAGAGACCTAAAATTGGACCTATCGCTTTCAAATGTCAGGTGAGGGAGACTGTAGTTAGTCAGTTGCCATACTCGTTAAACAGATCAACACCCCGAGCAAAGGGGAAGGCTCAATCTCTTCCACTCAAGTATCTCTCGGTCTGTTTCGACATTTATCTGAGAGCTCAGTCGCAAGCAGATACAGAACCGAAACCGCTACCTAAAGGTCGAAAGCGAGCGCAATGTCCTTTACACCATCGCCATTGACTCCAAATCCACCGACCGCGGTCCTACGATCCACTACTCCTCCACCAATATACTCACCTGATGAATTGGCTTGTGGTCGATTTTCCCAAGAGAGAGGAGAGTCTTCAAACCAATCTTTCTCCTCTTTTCACCATTCAGACACCAAGCCATCGAGTCCAACGTATGCGGAACCCATTCAAATCCCAACGGACTAATCTGACAAAAGAAAATGAGACAAGTGACGAGAGTGACGAAGCTTTGATCCTCGACGGTGCTCTCCCGGGGTCTGTGAGAGCTGGAGGCTCCATGTCGACAGCTGTAACACCAGCTTCAATGGACTCCGGACTACGATTACACGATTCCTCCACAGCCTCGCTCCGATCTGTTCAGTCAAGCTCAGTGCCAGTTTTCAGATCAAATACATCGTATTCAATGCCGGCGTCCACTGCTGATTTAATGGTCACACCACTCCATCTGTTAGGAGATCAGGCAGATTTCGTGGACTGCCCGTTCTGTCGGCGACGAGTCGAAACTAAAATCAAGAAAAATGCTTCTGCAGCTACTCAGTGAGCAAGAACTCTCTCAAATTATTCAATAGCCAAAGTCTGGCATTGTCTATTTCCACTTACACATATTCGTTCAGTATTGCCGCGACCGGCCTCTTCTTTACAACCGTTGGAGGCGTAGTAGCACCGTACGCTGCCAACTGGAAATGCCATATCAGTCACTTTTGCACCAATTGTGGTAAAAAAGTAGCTGTTAAGCGAAATGGTTCAGATGAGATGAGGGCACTTGGGACACCAGACCATTTGCGTCAAGTGTCCAAATTCCCTGCCGCTGTCACCCCGTATGTAGCAAATAATTACGGGCATTGAATTTACTTGCTTTAGCAGATGGAGTTTGGAACGATATGAAGAGTCGGATAATATGCCTTTCAATGGGAAAACAGGACACCAAATCCGCGAGCAGCCGAGAATTTGATCTCGAGCGAAATTGGCCGTTCATTTCTTGTTATATTTATTTTATGAGCCATGAAACTATATTAATTCTCAGAGATTTCTTACGCATAAAAACTGTTGCCTTCTACAGAGGATTTTGGTTCGCAAAGCAATACACAACCACTTTCAGTGCATCAGATTGGCAGCACTAGCTTGGCGAGTCTTCCACCTCATGCTCCGTACAGTTGAGACCTTAGAGCTAGCATTTAGATGGGAGGAAAAGGAGCACGCAATGAATCTCTGAGAATTTTCTGGTCTCCTTCCAAAGCCTGCGCGGGCTCTATCCTTTTCCTCCCAAGCGGTTGGGGCTACCACAAGAGATCTCCAAAGATCATAGGACTCTGGAAAGATTTATGTTGCAGACATCTTGGATTGTCCGCCTTTGGGTTCATTCTACCTCTCGGGTTGGAGTTCCTAGTCGTCAGGAATATCTGGTAACAATCACTCGCTCTAAGAGTCAAATGACTATCGCCAAAAGGGCCCATAGACGCATTCGCTTACGCATCATATTATCACACGTACCGTCTAGGTGGCTATGTGATCTAATGATCGTAGAAGGTAGCTTGCTCAAAACCACCCTTCAATTTGATGTCTCATTTCTTCTGCCGTCTAGTTGGCGGGCTGTTTCTCCCCAATACACCCATGCAGGAGGCAGCAGCTGACGCCTTTGTCCACATCTGGAGGGCGCAGCATCAGCTGAGGCTGAACATTAGGCGCATTAGGGCGAAATTTCATGCAAGAGTGCACAGGTGTGACAGTGAAGAGAATAAAATATCGTCGCCTAGCCCATCACAGGAAAAGCTCCAAACCAATTCCTGATTGTTCAATTAACACGCCCCATACACCGTCGAAGAACCTACCCGCCGACCTTATATCTTATATCGCGATGGGAATCAACGCTCTGCGCAGCATTGCCTTGGCCGACTTCCAGAACCAAAAATTTCAAGCGGACGGCGCAATTCAGAAGTACAGCGTCATCAGTGCCCATTCTGCTGTGACAGCACAATTACAACTCGACGAGCGTGAATCCACGCTTTCCGACATCGAGCGACTGTGCGAGAGTGACGAAACCCCACTGCTCATCGTGAAAGTCTTATACCAGCGACCAATTTCGGATCACATATTCGATTCTACGCCAGAGGAGTGCAGGAGGCTGCTGGAGCTTTTCCAAATCGACTCCTATGGTCTTGGGCTAGTAGCCAACGATGCGAACGGTTTCCATAGTTTAGGGGAGGATCTTTCGACTGGAAGCGCGAGCTACTATCTCCAATGCACGGCTTACAAAATCCTCTGGTCTTATGACCGCGCGACTCGACGTTGTCGGGCAGTAGCTTTTTCCTTCAACCGCCCCATGGCAAGGAAGGGTTTCGACGACTTCAAGGCATCTCTACAGTGCAATGCCGAGCTACTCTCGCACCCTCTCATCCTACCCATGGCCTGTCTTGCTCAGGCAGTGGGTTTTATGGACGGCTTGATCCGCAGACAATACACCAAGTGCCACAAGACGGAAAATTCCATAGGATATCATCACCCTCAGCGAATCGTTTCGCAGTCTTCACAGGAAGTGAACGAGCTTTCGGATCTGTCGAAGAACACGAACGCTCTTAAGCTGGAGGTGGAGATGATCTTGCGACGGCTGAGGCAGCTTCTCGCGGCTATCGAAGTATACGCTGGTATCCAGAGAGACTTTCAGAGCTCCGCATATCCAGACGCTGGAAACGTGTCAGAGTTGGACACTTCCACATCGGTAGTATCGACGCTGAGCCTCATAAAAACCAAGCTGGAGGTGATGGAACTTGATTTTCTTTACGTTGGTGCCAGAGCCGATGCGCTGATTAACACGGTATGTCAGTTGAAAATCTGCTGGTTCATGTGTTCTTTGTTAATGCTAATTCTACACTTGATTAGATCTTCCATCTCATGACACGCAATGATGCCCTTGCCACCATCGAACTCGCACGTGCTACTGCCCGCGACAGCTCGTCAATGAAAGTCCTTGCCATCATGACAATGGCCTTCCTTCCAGGCACATTTTTTGCCGCCCTCTTCTCGGTACCCTCCCTGCAATGGAACACAGAACCGGTGGTGCAGGACAAGTTTTGGGTGTACTGGGCGTTCACGTTGCCTTTCACTGCGCTCGTCTTTACCCTTTGGGCGCTTCTAACCCAGGCGGAAGAACTTGGTAAGCTTCGAGCATGGGTCTACCAGATCAGGGTGAGCGCGTCTACACCGCACAACAGTAAAGAGCTGCTGCAAGATGAGACGTTGGGAACGTCGGTGAGAGATTCCAAGCTAGGAGAGCAGCTCAAGGAGCCGCTTTCAACAGTGCAGTACAGGCCGAGGGAAACTTCCAAAAGATGGGAAGTCTAAAGCCGGCTCGAGGAAACTTTTCAAGCTACCTTATCTTTATGAATGATCGTACTTGATGACTTTCCGCGTTCTCCAGTTATGGGGGCTGTTTTGTGCCGCACTGTTCATCCAAGCACGGGTGTGGATGAGTAAATGCCTGATAGTCTGAGGGATACTTAGAGAAGAGCGATGAGGGGTTGCCTGTAAGGAGACCAAAGATAAAATTTCCATCCTCAACTACATCATGTACCCCGTTCGGTAGTCTTATCGTTGTTCTCAAATCGAATTCTCAGAATATGCTGTGATTGTTGGAAGATGTGACAGTAGATAAGTGTCTCAACACAGCAAGTTCTCTATGCCTAGCCAAACCAATTCAGATAAGCATTTTCCATCATCTGACGGCGCTAATCTGTAGCAATATTGGGACTTTTTGTGTCAATTAAAAAAAGCAATCCATGCAGCAATCCCAAGGCTCTCTTTCTATCGTGAAATCGCTCGAGACAGCGGCGACGACAAATCCTTGCGCTCCGTCTCTGCGTCTTCCCCGCACTCTAGAGTATGCCACGAATCTTCTGGTCAAGTCAAAATATCCCTCAGATGGCAATTTCAACGGCACATTGAACCGATGGCTGTGGTTTGTTACTGCCAAACAATGTAACCTAGATTACCTAAGTACTGGGCACGCGAGTTGTCCAAATGATCAGCCTTGCCAGGGAATGTAACCTATGGATCTACGACAGGGCCCCGGATATCTACACATGGCAGCTGGGTAGCAGGCTGTGGATTGCTCGTCATGATCGATGAGCGAACACACCTCCCAATATGTAACGAGCCTTTTTTTTTCCATCGTCAGTTGATATAGACCATATCATGATAACGTACTACGTTACGCCCAAAGGCGGGATGTAGTTCTCCGCCATATCAACGCGTGCTAATCCTTTTGAAACCTCGAGCCTTTGCTCCCACCTGCCGAATTTGTGTAAAACCCCCCACCTGATCATTCCACAGACGGGAGGAGTGTGAATGAATGAGATGAACTGTCTCATATGGCGAATTCTATAAGTAAGGCTGCGATAGGAGCTCAAAAATCCCAGCTTTTATGTCTTGGTGTTGCAGAGCGACTTCATAGCAGGCTTTTGGATTGGTTGCGATCAGATTGTACATATCGTTGCATCTGCGACTACTACCTTTTAGCAAATCCTACATCGCCCTCACCGATATTCTGTTGCTCATTAGGTACTACTCAAATAATATTCTCCCTGGCCAACTGCTTCCAAAATGAATCACCTATTCCGAGCTGCGTTGGCGCTGCTGCCCATCATGGCATCAACTGTCTGCAACGCCATGCCAACCACCAGGCAAACCACAACATGTGCAACCAAGGGCAAGCCCGCAGGGAAAGTCCTGCAAGGCTACTGGGAGAACTGGGATGGGTCGAGCAATGGTGTTCACCCCGGGTTTGGCTGGACACCAATCACAAACTCGCTGATCCCCCAGCACGGCTACAACGTGATCAACGCCGCGTTCCCCGTCATTCTTTCAGATGGCACCGTACTGTGGGCAGACGGCATGGATAGTGGTGTTAAAGTCGCGACCCCTGCCGAGATGTGCGCGGCCAAAGCTGCCGGGGCCACCATTCTCTTGTCCATCGGAGGTGCGACGGCAGGGATCGATCTCAGCTCTTCCTCGGTCGCTGATAAGTTCATCGCGACTGTCGTGCCCATTCTCAAGAACTACAATTTTGACGGTATCGATATCGATATCGAGACTGGCCTGGTCGGCAGTGGCAGCATTACCACACTCTCCACGTCCCAGCAGAACCTGATCCGTATCATCGACGGCGTTCTTGCAGCGATGCCGTCCAATTTCGGTTTGACCATGGCACCCGAGACGGCGTACGTCACTGGAGGAAGTGTCGTCTACGGCTCCATCTGGGGCTCTTACCTGCCCATCATCAAGAAGTACGTTGATAACGGCCGCCTGTGGTGGCTGAACATGCAGTACTACAACGGAGAGATGTACGGCTGCTCCGGCGACTCATACGCCGCGGGGACAGTCGCGGGATTCATCGCGCAGACCGACTGCTTGAACACCGGCCTGGTCATCCAGGGCACGACGATCCGCGTCCCCTATAACATGCAAGCCCCTGGTCTACCAGCCCAGGTGGGCGCCGGTGGTGGCTACATGTCCACCACCCTTGTCGGGCAGGCCCTGGACCACTATAACGGTGCGCTCAAGGGCTTGATGACCTGGTCAATCAATTGGGATGGGTCCAAGTCGTGGACTTTTGGCGACAATGTGAAGGGGCGGCTCGGGACCGCATGAGATTTGTGTGTGGCCTCAGTGAATTGTACATACGCCGATACATAGATTGTCTATATGGGACTGGATTGAATGAGATTACTATGATTATGAACAAATATGGGGTGAGATTTCCAGTCAGAGTCGCAGTGGTTCGTTGGAGTAAGCGTATTACTACGATTGTCCTGGGCTTGCATGTCAATATTGGGTAAGGGACAGTGGCATAATTAGCATCTGATCATCTGTCAAGATTCTTCTGTATCAGTTAGCAGGAGCTATGAAAATGTCTTTGTTTTTGTTTGTTCTTCAGTCTCACCGCCTCAGCCACCTCTTGGAACCACGTGGATTGATTGCTTGGCTCTTTAAAAGGATTTTCCCAAGGAGTCTTGATGACAAGATGTGGCCAGCACTTCCGAAGTTCCGACTGATGCTGGGTTCTGGTAGCTAAGCCAACCCCCGGTCCAACTACGTATGCAGCCGTCAGCTTGGCGTGGACAACTTGCGGCCTTGCCCCTCTAGAGTAAGAAATTAGCGGGAGCCACATGCACAATAGCTCTTTCTGAAAAATCAGTAATTACTAGAACTGGGGAATTGGTGGTTGGTTGTCTTCCCGTCCTGGCATTGTCTTGCCCAACGCAGTCATGAATTCATAAAGACAATGGGCCGGGGATCCCAAAAGAGCGCCAACGTTCTCAACAAGGGTACGCGTACCAACAATCAATATTCAATATTGAGCGGCGGCGTAGCACGGATCGACACGTTATTCTTGTCCGAGCGGGCATGGCACACTAAGAATAGGATCCCTCCCATGGCGTTCGATGGACCCGTCAGGCCTGTCGACTCGTGCTAAGCCTCGCCAGAAAGTGCGAAGTACCATCCAAAGCCATCTACTTTTGTGCGAGCGGGTACTCTGTAATCTCCTAATAGAACGGGGCACGGAAGCAATAGGACTAAAGTACCAAAGCAAATACAATCTGTGGGTAATTATCCGTGCGGTGATGCAATGTGAGAGGGCAGATATTACACTGGCCACACGCTGTTCTGAATGCCACCCATCCATACTACGCCCGTCTCGTCCCATCGCAGAAGATGTCACTTACGAGATCAGTGTCGCCGCTTTCATCAGGTCCAAGTCCGGTCAGTGGACGCTACAATGAGATCAGCCCGATCGAGTCGCGGAATTACCAAGAACAGCAGCAATATCAACCCATATCCTCAGCCGGGGATCCTCAACGACAGGAAGGACAGCAGCAGGAGCCACAGGAGCAGCCACAACAGCAACAACAAGGGGAAGAATTTTACAATCCCTCACAGAATCCCGCCGGAAATGTGCAGCCTACACATCCAGACCGGACGCCGATGCTGTCGGATGGTCAAGAAGGGTTCTCTCGCGGCCAGGTTGCTGAAAAGACGCCACCGGAATTCGTGAAAGGGGGCCTCAGGATCGAAACCATCATAGCCGACGTTCTCACCATCCTGATCCCCATAGTTCTACTGATTTTCGCATCAATTCTCATCTCCAAAAACGGCAAAGAGACTTCCATACACCAGATTGAGCAATGGCAAAACGCCGCGTCTGTCGTGAGTCTGAGCAGGTCTCCACGATACGATATATTTCTAGCTAACATGATGTGCTCGATCCACTCAGCTCTCGACATTCTTCCCTTTGTTTTTCTCTGCCGTGGTGGGCCGCCTGATGATGCAATTGGGCCGCTGGAAATTAGAAAGAGGTGTAACAGTGGAAACTCTCGAGCAACTCACAGGGAGCAGAACCTTTTTCGGCGCAGTAATCACACAGGTCCGCCTACGGAGCTTGAGCGTACTCGCCGTCCCTCTCGTTCTCCTCTGGGCCTTCTCGCCAGTCGGCTCCCAGGCTCTCACTCGTCTCGTTCAGCCACGGCTGGCCATTGCAACGGAGTCAAGCCGCATGACCTACTTTGACACCATCGGATCGGCCCCAAGTGACTCGATTGGGGACCAAGTAATGGGCAATGAATGGTGGTACAGCATGGAGCGGATGAGCAAGCTGCGAGCAGAGCTGGATTCGAGAAACACGATATATGGATCCATGCTCACGGCTCCCCGGGCGGTCAAGCAGAGTAGCATGGACTTATGGGGGAATATCAAGATTCCATTTTTAGCCAACGACCAGGACAGTACCTGGCAAGCTGTCTCTGCAAACTCAGATCGGCCATACAGCTCGCTCATCGGTCTTCCTTTTGCGAACATCTCCGCGGGTAACAACACTTTCGAGATTGAGTCGACCTACGTTGCACTGGAATGCGACGACTTGGAACTTTGGGAATTACCTGTTGGATCCAGTAACTCTTCGCAACCGGGATACCTTAATGCCACCTACATAGCAGCCTTGGGAGGTGGTGGTGTTGAACAGCCTGCGCCGAATGGGACGTTCCAGGGATTCAGCATCGATCGCGGAGGCAATTACGACTCGCGGGAAGCTTCCTGGAGTGTGGGCATTGATCGACTTATCAATGAGAAATGGTTAGAGGGTTTCGAGTGGGGGAGTGATGGACAAGAGCAGACCAAGAGGCGGAACACCCTGAGACTATTCGAAAACGAGAATGGGATTGATATCGGGCCAACCAGAATCTCATTCCAGTCGTACATCCCTCAAAATACGACCGAAAATCCCGAAGTCACCCAGATGAGATACTACGGCACTCACTGTAGCGTGAAGCAAAAATACGTCGAGTCAAAGG